CTGACTGGAAATCATTATTTATTAATCGATGTCGTTTACATTTTGAATAAATAATTAATTCCACGTTTCTTTACTTAAATATTGACTTAGGAAAAAGTTAAGTTAATATTGGTTGAATCTTGATGACATTTAAAAAATATAACCATGTTATAGCCATATACGTAATTACTATAGGTACCTAATTAATATTTTAGATACAAACACGTTATGTAGAACTTCATGCAAATTTTTGGCAAGGAGTCTGTTATGAATAAAAACGGCATTATAGTTTGTTTTAAACAATTTATTTCATTATCTGGATTTTGTAAAACCCTTCAGTGGCCGTCTGTGGTTTGTCTTTTATAACGTACGTTTACAACGGCGCATCAGCGATGCGAAAACGGGAACGTAAAAACCGTTTGTTTCATGATTAATACATGACTTTGGAGTTTTGCTGAATATTTTTGTTGTTAGACCACGGGAATGGGCAGTAATTCTTCATGTATTATCATCAGGTCGTCACGTATATATGATAATTGCCGGTCCACGATATGGCTCTGAGGCGAGGGAGATGCCTTATGACCTTAGTGCTGTGAAGGTATACAGTTTGGATAGAATAAGAATATACACACGTGGTCTATACCGTTATTGTGCGGGAGACAAAATAATTAAGAGGTTCCCATTTTTATTACCGCCATAGAAGACATTTTTAGTAACCTAACTAATTCATTTTGTAATATAGAAGTTTCAATGGTTAATAAATACCATAATTTTAATCGATAAAACTTTTTTTTAGAACGTTGTATAATAAATTCAAATAATAACTGATTTTTGTATTTTGTTTTACTTGAAAATAAAAATTCTTTTGACTAACAGGATGAAAAAAAATTAATTGATACCACAATACCGGAATGGTATGAGGTATTACAGTAAAACATTAAAGTTAAACAAACAAATTGTTTGCATGAATTTTAAAGACAAGGTAATGAATAGAAAAAAATCACTAACTATATTTTTTTTAGTGGAAGAGATGTGGCTACAAAATTAACTATTTGCAGTGTTATTATCTTAATTTATTAGCACTATGTGCAAGTGTTTGATGTTGTTATAATATTAGGAACTCTTAATTCATAATTGAACTAACTCAAGAAACTCAGCAGTCTATTTATTGACTTGTTTATGGAAAAATATAAAATTAATTGATTAAAAATAATTATTTATTTTTAAATTATTTTAATTCATTATTTTAAAAATAAAATAAAAAATTAATGATTAGATTTTTTTATTATTATTTTTATTTGTGATTCCATATTTATACATTATAATATATTGTGCATTTACATGAAAATCATGTGGTAGACGCCAATACTGGGTTAGCATTGTTTATAAAGTAGGTAGTATATATAGTGATTGTTTAAAAGATAAGTTACATTTTTAAAGTACCTATGGTTCCTAATTTCTGTATCCAATATACATAATATTATACCTAACAACTAACGACTAACTGTATTTAATATTTAATATGTAATATGTATGCATTAATGTGTGTGTGTGCGTTGAAACAAACGGCGATATTGTGTACGATTTTATGAGATCTTTAAAATTTAAATCCTTAATGATAAACGTGTAGTGTCATGAGCTGTTATACAAATATGTACATATCTACTAAATTAAATTATACCTTTAAAAAATAATAATATTAACTGCGCGGTCTATATTGTCTACGATTACAATAATTGTAATTAAAAAAAAAAGAAAAGTCAGGCATAGGCTAATTTTACATAAATTTAAATTCCTCCTTTAGAAATATACCAATGTACAGTTTTGTGTCAATAAAGTGTTGGTATAAGTATAACCAAAAAACTAATCTTAAAATAAATGCATAATATTTAATTGAAACATCAGAACTTAACGAGTGTTTTGACTTTAAAATAATATTCACTTTTACAATTTATTTGCCAAACGTCATATGTTGACACTAGGTAAGTCGTAGGTACAGTGTACACATTAGTAAAATACTAAGCAGTAGTAATGACGGATGCAAAATAATATTGCACAATACCAAACTTACATATTTGTTTAGCTTCTATGAAATAAATAAATAAAATGGGTATTTAATTACATTGTTAAGTACAATGGTATATATTTACTATACTTTGACAAATAAATAATTTTTAAAATTAGGAATTTGGTAGGTAACGAACACAAAAATAGTTTTCTAATAATTTTAGAAAATATGTGTTTTTGTATAGAATTTGTAGAAACAAGTTTTTAAGAGTTGAGAAGTAAAAAATGTATAAATTATGATACGACATTATAATAATAATGTAATAATGAAGTACCAACCTAACCTATCGTAATTCATAAATAATAAATATTAATGATATTCTAAGAGCATAATATTATTACTACCCAATGGGTAGTACCCATATAAAAAGTATAAATTCAAGTACATGATATTATACTCAGAATTTTTCAATAGTTCTTTTAGTATATTTTGTTTTTTTTTCAATGATATGGCATATTATAAATATATGCCTATTTTGGTCAATAACGCATAATATGTATATTGTATAAATATTTTGTTGACGATAATAGTCAACAACACCATTTTGCCTATGGCATCAAGACACAGTAAGATAGTTAAATTATTAAATATTTCATACATTTATTATTGTATGGTATGCAATAATACTATAAGTTCTAAAAGTTAGTAGGTATTATTAATTTACAAAATCAGTTTACACTTGAAACATACTATCAAGTTCTAAGTAAGATTTTTTGTGATAATATTATTTAATATTTATTGTATTAATAAATTAAGTTTATCAAATTTATTAGATAGGAAACCAAGTTCAATAAATTATTGGTAGGTATATGTTCGATTTTAAACAGATATCGGTTATTTATTTAAAAATGTGCATATTATTATTTTAATTTTTAATATGATTTTAAATTTAAATGTCTAAAATGTATACAATTTGTATAAGACATAATATTATACAGGTACGCTGTGTAAAATATTAAAATACTAAAATATTAAATTAAAAATATTTAATTACCAGGTTACACAAATCAACATTTTATAATTCGTTGACATTGTAAAATGCTGAAATAGGATTTGAATAATACTATTTTTAAATTAAATTAATAGAATTCCATGATCGAAAAATAATTTAATTTTCAAAATTAAAATTACTAGTCATATGCTATTATAATATAGATTTATACTTCCAGAATCCTTCATACACGTACCTAGGTAATTTGTGTATTTGAATTTCAGTTTTAATATTGTAGTAAGAGTAACTATATTATACAGGTAAACTTAATATAACTTCAAAATTCCCATTAAATGTATGTTTAAGCATTATAATTTAATTATTTTCTCACTAAACACTAATGCCTTTTAAAATAATTAAAAACACATATAAAATAACTAATGATGAATGTTCTAATATTATGAACAATTGAAAATTAATACTTAAATACTACCTTTATAAATGTTGTAAATTATATAATATTATATAGTGTAAATGAATTAATTTAATATAAACAAACAACGAATTATTTATTAGGTAGGTACCTACTTATCCAAAATATATATGTTACACACTTGATTGTAATATGATATATAAATTGAAAATTCCAAAAAATGTCTTGTTTTTCTTCGCTTATGGCATAATATTTGTAGATACAATTATTGTGAGTAGGTATTGCTAAAATTTGATATTGCTTTTTAATGCATGTGTATTAATTTTTGAGCTACCGTAGTGAATCATTTTATCTAATGGTTAAAAATTAAATCCAAACTATAAAGATTTTAAAAACATTGGTTAATTCTAAATAGGACGAATGACGATAAATTATAATAGTATCTAAATATTATTGTTTATTTTTAATTATTAGAAAAGTAAGACAACGAATGTCCAATTTTTCGGTCATTTTTTTTTGATTTTGAAATACATTTAGGTTATAAGGTTTAATTAATATCATAATCTATAATGTTCATTGAATGTAATATAATTAGTAATACATTTTTTTATTTATAAATTTGAAAAACTATAAACACAAGAATTACCTAGCTTAACTCGGTCACACTAGAATTTTTTATTCTCGTTATTATTGTAACAATATTTCATTAAGTATTTTTTGAACAAAAGTGTGTTATGTTTTCACTGAAGACTTTCATTTTTCTCCCAGGCGCCAATTCTCACCTGGAACGTCACGGTCCGAGTTAAATTAAATCGCAATTCCGCGCGGCTTATCGGATCACGCTAGCGAGAAATGTATCCTATTCTGCGGCTATTATAATTAGACATTGAAAACAAATATTCCTCTACATAATATTGTGTGAAAATAAAGGTTAAAAAAATGTTTTTTTCCGTTCTATCGGCGAGGTCTGTCCGATGGGCCGAATATTGTTCGTGATGCTAGTGGACGGCAAAAGAAGACGAAGAAAAGCAGCGACAGCAGTAGAGCGTAAGCGCACAAGTTGAAGGACACAAATTTCGGAGGAGAACGACCCGCGCCGCTACATTATAGCAGAGGTACGTGCCTACATATTAACATATATACAACGCTGTACGTTATACCACCCGTGGCCGCCGTCTTCGTCAGGTGTACACCATGGACGGGGCGGTGAAGTGCGGTGCCGGTGCGGCTGCGTGGCGTCATTGCCCGCGTGTAGTATTTTTTTAACTAGGTTAGTGTAACGCCGCCGCCGCCGCGTGCGCGACTCCTACCAAAAAGGGGGACCGGTTCCGCCACGGAGCAGGTAGAACGCATCGTACCTACATTATAATAAACGCGTACACATCATACCTATGTTTATGGCATAAACCTATAAGTGGAAGAGAGAAGGGAAAAAACGCAAGCCGCCGCCGCCGCGTTACCTCCTTTCCGCCCCACCATGGCGGTGGCGGTGTGCCCGGTCCGTCGGCGGCGGCGGTGGTGCCCCACCCCGCGGTCTCCCCGCCAAGACCCCCCTGGCAGAGGCCCCGCTCGGTTCGACCGCCGGTGCACGCGCATACGCGTCAATACACTCGGTGCGCATTGTATCTCGCGGACGCGCCGGACGTGGATTTATGCCGACGAGCGGTCAAAGACGATAACATTTTCGACAGTATACCTATATACGTGTACTCTGACAACCGAACTTCGTTTTCGTCGATTTTATAAGTTTTTCGAATTTTTTTTTGATTTTTGTTTTCGGTGTGATTACAGTTGTCCAAGTTCTTTTTTCGCAATAATATTTTATATTTGTTTACTATTCGTTATATTCAAGTGCGGTGGTGAAGTGCGGCATATATATACGAGTGTGTCTTAACCCAGCAGTGCGACCGTCTTCTGCAGACTTGTATACTTGGCGAAAATATATTATATTGGCGTGTATATATACCTACCGCGATTGTTTACAAAAGCCTACCCGATTACTTTTGATTGCTGTAACAGTAAGCTCGATTATTTTAGACTTAAAACATACATACTCTGTAGTGTCATAAAATACATAGTGTTCCAAACGTCTGCGAGCTTATAAAAAGCACATTTTTTATTTCCGCACTTTTCCTACTCAATAATGATTTATAATTTTCTTTGTTCGGAATTTCTGTCTCTAGAAGTTTGGAACACGTTGTATGTTTATTTTTAATTAGCAAAATGTCCCTCGGGAATTATCACTTCCCCGTTTGCTTTCAACTTCCTTGCGATAGTTCCATTTTCTCATCCTTATATTATGGTCAATTCACAAGTAGGTTCCACGAAATATCCGAGGCCGATTTTTTCTGTCTTTACAGGTGAACAAATTCGAACACTTTTTTTTTAAAATTATTATCGGTAAACAAATATGACCTTGTGAAAAATAGCTATTGTTTTTTATAATTTTTCTCGGGGTGAATGACCGTCGACGAGGACTCGCCCTTTAATGATCAACAGGTAAATTCATCAATAAACTTTGGTTTACAATTTTTTCCGTCGGTGATTTAAAACATATTCTTCCGGAACTTTACTCGTGATCTTACAAGCCAAATTTTGAGCTTATACATAAAAAACAAATTCTTTCGTCCAATTGAATTCCCTGTATAAGTGCCGAACATCCCAGTTGCATGAGTATACTTATTTTTTACACATACATGATGGCTCAATTGGCTGATACCATATACTGACCGCAGTTACCAACATTAATATAAACATGTTTAGCTCAAATGTACATAATATATTTAATGTTATATGTATAAAATATTCATAAAAAAGCTTTCATTTATATAATAACTACCTATATTATTTTTTTTCAACAAGAAAAACCTATATACTTTATTTTGATACATGATAATAACAACATTTAGTCAGTAATATTATGCGATTACTAATATATTGCTTTTGACCGGAGACTTTAACGACTGAATTCGTTCAATTCTAAATTGTGTTACAAAATATACATAAACGACTCAAATTGTTCACGTGCTGTTCAACTGTTTAACATGTCTATATAAAAGTTGGCTAAACAAAAGATGCAAATTTCATCCGTCAATTATTCATGTGTCCCGTAGTGTTATGTAGTTTTTCACGTTTAGTATTTATGATATCATTTTATGTACAATATATCCGCGAGAGTACTGACTGTTCTTTGACGAAACTATAATACAGCCCTAGGGATATGTAACATCAATTATGTGCTCAAATAACCAAAATATTTGACTTCGGGGAAATTTCGTCAACAAAATGCATATTATTTTATAATAGTCCACTAATTAACGAGCTTTTGGTCGTGTTTGTATAATACAGTTGTTGTGTTCGGCTTCCCGGACCTAGGTTCCCGCATCAGCAGGTGACATTAATATAATTGTCAGCGTTCATATAAGGTGATGTAGATAAAAATCTCCACGAAGACTCTTTCATCCGGTTTAGATTTTGGTTCCGGGAAAAATCGTTTATCTTCATATCAAATTTGTTCCAATTGCCCACTGTACCTATATGTTTGTCAATTTTTAATTTATAAATGAGTTTCAAAAATCAATATAGGTATAAATCTATAATATAATATATTATATTCGTATCTGTGCGTTTATTCAGTTAAAAAATGTTATTTGAGTATAGAATTGTTGGATAATATTACACTATAAACATTTAAAGTGGAATATTTTGAATATTGTTGTGTATTAATTGATTTAATATTTAGACAATTATATTAAGTGTACAAACAATTAAAATTACATTAGCTTTGTATTATTACTAATGCAATTTTGACGAATGTTCGAGTTCTAGAATTATAAGAATAATAAAAATCGTACTATTCGTACTCGAGCGTCTCGAAGTTATGGGCCAGTGGGTCGAACGGCTGACCACCGTCAACCAGTGGTTTCTATTTTGTGCGCTCTGGTCAATTACAATTTGTATTTTAAATTTATAATATATCTTAAAAAATATATAATTTTATCGATATACTTAGTAAAGTATAGTAATATTATACGCTCATACTGCTTAAAATCAGTTAATTTTTTGTAAACAGAATGTCGTTCTTGTGGTGGATTATATATAGGCATCACACAATTTAATCATTAAAATTAATTACATAAGTATATTTGTCATTGTTTTGAATAGTATTATCCACAAATGTTATCATTAATTCATCAATCATTGAACCATTAAAAAAAAAACAATTTTATTTTAATTAGTTTGAGAACCAATTGAAGAGTAGGTGTGTATACCGTTATGTTTGTTGAGAATGTGGCACGTTATATTCTATATATGTGTATACCGCGTTGAAGTATTCACCTCACACACACACACATACATACACACACACACACACACCATAGCCGTAAACCAAGTGTTATAAATTTATAATGCTTCATTCATCAACGTTATACCTAAAAAGTGAAGTATTACTGTGATAACTGATAAGTATGAAGTATCAAAATTAAATTGGATAATTTTTTTCTACAATTTCATACCGATAGACTAAAATTATTTTTTAGTTTGGATTTTGAGCGACATTCTTGAAATTCATTAAAAACATATTTGTTTCGATTTGATTAAGTGATGAATATTAAGGACACTTTTGTAAAATGCGTTATAATGTATTGTTCATATCATAATTATAGGTAATACTTATTAAAATTAAACATTATTCAACATTCCTATCTATCATACACTTTAATGTTTTCACGATTATTTGCTAACGTACGTTTCAAACGTAGAGGATTCAATTATTTTTTAATTAGTGAAAAAATATCTTATTATAACGGAAATATTTTTATTAACAAGATCTAAAATTAATTTAATTAAATCATAAGTTACCGTAGTTTTATATCTTATTTCTAAACTCATAGGTACACAATAATATTATAACAGCTATTGAGCTTAATAATATGGTCTGATTAAGAATTGTAATTTTGTTACACAAATTAACGAATGATAATTGAATTAGATGAATTGCGGTTCCTAATGAAATAAAATAATTATTCCAAAACTATATACGGTATGTTCTAAAAGTACCGTACGCTCGCCAGGAGGTCACACGGAGTGGTAAAACTTCTATAAAATACGTTGTTCAACAAAAATCGGGTTTTTGTGTATAGAAAATCTTAAAATTATATTGGTAATTTTGGAACTGTGTGTATAATGTATTGTATGTATGCATATATTATGTATATGTATGTATGAACCTATATATAGTTCATGTACACAGAGTACACACAAGCAAAATTCTTAATTACAAACCTTAAACACCACAATAACTGTTACTTTACAATTAGTTAAGTATTTTTAAAACCATTAAGAATAAAATACACATATATAGAATTATATACTTATATCACCTTATTGTTGTGCTCACATGTTTACAAATCAATTAATTTATTATAATATACTATACTGTGTATTATATGTATACAATATACAATTAAATTTTAGAATATAATATGAGTAGTTTATGGTACCTAGGTATGTCATTTTCTTTCATTTACTGTTTTTAATTTTTATCTTTCATATACTCGTGTCCAAAGAAAATAATTAAATCAATGCTTTTTGAAGATTTGTGCTGTTTAAAATAAATATATTTATGTATGTTAAATACATATATATATTACAAAAATACATAGTACATTGCATGTTATATTGTTATGTTAATAACTTAAAAATATAGTAAAGAGAACATTAAATATTATTTAAACTTAAATAATCTAGACATGTTTTTAAATTTCACGGACAATTTATGATATATAATCTTCTACATTAGGTATTAAGTGATATGTTTATATATTAATCTAATAATCTAAGTAATTATCAAATTATTTTCTTGTTGTGTTTAAGCTACACTATATACCTACGATCTACGGCACGTATATGCGTGTATACCTGTAAGTAGTATGTATAATATATAGGTATTGTGTTCAATAAATTATACTCTCGCGGTTTTTAATGAATATACAATTCTCAAAAATCATAAGTCATAATGTATTTTCGATTATATCAAAGTAAATTGTTTGCGATTCATTAAGTACAGTATTATTATTATTATTATTATTATAGGAACATACCTACTATTATATAGCGTTTATCGTAACCGTCCATACAGTATTATACAAAATGGATCGCAGACGGATACCTATAATATTATTAAAATAATAATAATAATAATAATAATAGATATGAGGTACCTACGTGCGGTACATTTATGACGAAAAAATTGTCTTTCTATTATGCGTCAAAAAACGCGTATACATATGGGTCTAGAACGAATCGTAAGTGATTATAGTGTTTTGTTTTAGAACGCGGCACGCGGGGAGGGAGGCGGTGGGAAAGCCTCGTCGTGTAAGTCGGGAGAAATGTACAAGTGTGTGTCGTGAGTGAGCGAACGTGTGGTAGGGGGAGGGGAGGAAGTACACGCGGACGATAAAAAGTGACAGTCCGGATCGTCGGCCAAGCCGCGCGCGAACCGGGTTACCGTGTCATAAGTCTAGCCGGATGTTGTGCGCGTGTATACACGTTTGCACGCATATCATATATATATATATGCTGTACAGTGTGCAGTGTATACACTATACATACTTCATCCTGACCGTATGTCGCGTATAAGTACATATATATATAATGCACGGATTCAGTAAAAGTATTCCTCCTCATCTCCCCTCATTCACTCCCCACTACCGCCCATACGACCGCCTATGTATACCTATACTATATTCGGCCATGTAGGTATACAAAACGTACTTACCGGTATAATATAGGCGTTATACGCGCTATATAGTAAATACTTTATATTATTCGCTAGAGTATATACCGCGATGTTGAACGGCTGGCACCGCGAGCGACGGTCACAAATGGCTCATCCGGACTGGTCGCAATTTAATATATTGTCTCATGTATAGGTACATTGTTATTTTTCTCACTTATTCTCAATGACGTCATTACGACGCGCGTATGTGTGTTGCGACTGTACCTTTATGCGGCCGTAGTTGTCATATTATAATCATATCCGCACGTGGGTGCCATCGACCGATATTGTGCATACATCTATTTTGCGGAGATTATAACTTTTTTACGATTTCTTTACGAATATTTTCAACGTTTTCAATGTACGCCCGCGTGACACTATAAACCTATTATTCAAATAGATGTACCGATTTCGCCGAAACGCGTTTAATAATTAGGCGTATTAGTGTATTACTTTTCGTCTACAACGCGCCACGCATAACCCCCGTTCCAAAACCATCTCTCGTTGCCCAGTCATCACGAATATTTTGGGCACAAATTATACGCATCGCGTAACACAGCACCTCAGAACAGAATATATAGGTATGCGTCATCAATTAATATAATATCATATATTTATGTCTCATTGAAGTTGTAGGTACTAAATAAGTGTATACTGCGGTATATGAAAAATATCGATAAATACATGTGTATTGGATGTCATTTCATATTAAAAAAATGTATGAGGTTATAGCTGATCACTGTAGTTACGTATATATGTTTTCAAATTGTATAAGATAATAAGTACATATCAATACAGTAGCTTAATTTTGAGACAAATTGTTTCCTCCTAATACATGAGTACTGAATAGATAAGGATAATAAACAAAAAAGAAGAACATTCAATTAAATTTAAAAATCTTTAAAATTATTAATAACAAATTTAATGATTTGAGTTAGAAACAAATATTAATTTGTAATCGTTATTATTAAAACACTATATTATGAAGAAGTATAATGAGTGGGTAATGGGTTTTACTACAGTAGAAACAATATAATATATATTAAGTCTTATAAGCGCACCGGGCGTTGAAGTCTTTAAAATAATTATATGAATAGTAGGTATACCTGTAGATAAAATGTATTGTCGTCTTCTAATTACAAAAAATATTATCATTCATAATTACTTATTGGTTTTACATTGTGATTGTACTGCAGTTACTAAGTGTATACAAATATTGGCACGAAATTATTTAAGATATAGGTACCTATATTATTTTAACAATTAATAAAACTGTATTGTTATGAAATTGTGAATTTATTCTTTATATATAATATTTATGTGTATGTGAGAACCTGTACTTAACATTATACGTACCCATTCAAATGACACTCACACTAATTTTATCATAAAATTAAAAACAAGCCGTGTCCGCGTGTTTTATTATTTTCCACATAAAAATTATTCTATATAGGTACCTACTATCTTGTCTATGGTTGTATTATTATTATTACCTTTGTGGCAATTCATATCTGGGCTGTTTCACGGTTGAACTGTATCCAACAGGCCCACAAGTGGGTCAATGCTTTTTTCCTTCAATTTTTTTTTCCCCGCAATCGATTGTCCGGATGACTGGTGACAGCTCTGTGGCGTCGGCGTATCGTGTCATTGTCTCCGGTCGGTTTTTTTTTACATTCGTTAATCATTCTATTTAGCCTATTATTTTGTCTATATGCATTTGACAAACCGTTTTAGGAGTGCTGTTTTTGTTTTTTGTCATACGATGAAAATCCTGATTCGTTAGCAGAAACATCACTGGTGCATCGTCAATATATAAATATATATCATTAGTATCGATATATATATATATAATAAATGTATTTGACCTGTATTTATTATGAGGTAATAGATAGTGTATTTTTAAGCATATAATACAGAGTTAACCATGGTGCACCCTGTAAAATACAAATAAATAAAATTATTACATGACGTGCTTATATACTACATACTATATGCTACATAACATAACATGTATATAGTCAGTCAAGTGTATAATATATATATATATGTATTATACAAGTGTCAAAAATATATAATAGATAATAATGTATATTGAGCTCAATGCCGAAAATTATTTTTAAACAATAACGACGCCAAAATTATGAACACTTTAACGTGTAAGAATATCAGATAATTGAAAACCGGACTAGATTGATAAAAAGAGAAAAATTACACTGTCCATGAATTTATTATTCACAGTAGTAAACAATGAGAGTTATTGTGTATTATATATATACATAGTTTGGAATGTCCAAAGGGTTATGTAACTCGTAGCTGACTCACTGACGACGACGTATTATGTCGTCATATAAAAAATATTGTTTTTGAGGCATTTAGGTATGCACTAATTACCTATATCGAGGAACCTACCTGAATGCTATATGGCTATATGGTTTCAACTTTTTCTAATGAATAATAACATAAATATCTACTTTTTTAGCACGCGTATTCCTACGAGCTTTAAATAAATGTGACACAAATACGAGCGAAAAAAGTTAGGAAAAACGATTTTGCGGTTTTTGGGGACTTTGTTTACTATAAACTATCAAGGCAACAATATAATATAACGGTGGCTGCATTTAACCTCATCGGGTTATCGTATTGTCTCAATGTCTAATTATTCAGTTACGATAGTTACAACACATGATTATTACGTCGGTATATACCTGCGTGGTAGGTACGTAGGTATTGTAAACTATAAACCATCAAGTCAATTTTCTCGTCTGATCAATTGCGCATGAAGCGTATAATATACCTAACACGCCGATATAGACCCTTCGAGCCTTGGGAGTCATTTGGTATAACGCGTCTGCACGGCCTTAGACGTTTGGCAGTATACGCATTATAGTTTCTGTAGACGTATATATACCTTCCCGGTGAAGCTTAAGGTCTCTCTCGAGACGGCGTATACACATCGGAATTCTTCACTATCCCGCGACGAAATTTATAAATATATACATATAAGATATAATTGTCGTTTTCCCCAACTATGCGTGAGGTGTCCTTCGAGACGTGTATAGTGCGGACAAATTATCCCGTTACCAATGTACCTCATACGCATATGCTTGTACATTACAGCAGCACAGCTGGACTGCTGTAGTAGCGAATCGGTGGACAAGACCTGCAGGGTGGTCGTATATAGAGTAAATTTTATTATAACATATATATAAATGCGTGGGCAGGTCCATGTGTTATTATATGGTTATACGCAATATAATAATATAATCCTTACCGTTACAAATTTTAGGGTAAAAGTAACGCAACAAAAATTAGGTTGTTGAGTGCGAGGCAGGCGGGATGACGTATGATGTCGTGTAACAGAGATATAATACCTACCACCGACTGTATGGTAAATATTATTATATGACTACTATTCTACTACCTGCTACTACCGAGAAATTTGGGTCGATTCGCTACCGTTCGCGATGGGGGACTTATCGAGCAGAGCCCGCACAACTCTGCAGAGAGAGATGCGCACCGATGAACATTTATATTATATACAGAGTAGAAACAAAAATTTTCTTTTTTCAAACCGTCGCACCCGAAAGAGTAATAAAAATAAATACTTTTATATATATACATGTGTGTGTGTGTGTGTGTGTGTGTGTGTGTGTATGTATGTGCATTTGTATTGGTACGCCGTACGCGGTACCGTAAAACTATTGACTGGTGTGTGTGTGTGTGTGTGTGTGTGTGTGTGTGTGTGTGGTGGCGAACTGGCGGCAGTTATGGTGTGTGTATATTATATTCGCTTCAAGGGTATACACTCGTAAAATATATATACGACGTTGATAAATTGTTTTGCACCGCAATATGTGCGACAGCACTCCGCAATGTAATAATAATAATAATATTGCACGTGTCCAACGAAAATCGCTTTGTCGTCCGACCGATTTATATATACGCATACTTATTGTTCTGGTCCATTTGATATATATTATTATTATTATTTTAACCGACTACGGATTTTCGCCACAACCTACACACGTTCCGAGTGTATGTCCAAACGCAGTGGGCGGTTTGTGTGTGTGTATATAACATTATATTTACAATGTGTTCGCACCCTACCCGGGATCGGACCTTTTTATTGTATCATTTTTGTTGTTGACGGTCGTTGAAAACCGTTTTGTTTGGCGGAGCAAAGACGTATATTTACCCTTCAATATATTATTATATGTATGAGAATGTGACCCGACGCCGACAACTGTAAAGTCAACTGCCAGCGAATGGCACTGGCAAATTATAAAATATAAAATGTCTCCCCGTAAGACCCGTTTTTGTAAGGCTCGTCGTCGCTTTAATGCATTTACACCACGTTAGGTCGCCAGTATATTTTAATATTTAGTAAGTCATAAAAGTTCCACCGATATTATAAAAATATATAAATCCAAATTTGTAAGCACAACAATACATGCGAATATACAATACAATACAATAATATGCATTAGAAAATAAATAAATAAAATGTAAATTTATCAACTACGATAAAGTAGTAGGGAAATTTTGTGTAACAAGATCATAATCTATCCAACAATTATGAAAAAATGTAGTATACTATTATAATATATAATATACAATTATAAAGCGTACACAATTATTATACTATAAGTGATTAAATAGGTGACAAAACAATTTTTTATTTTTAAAGTTAAGTCTATGACAGTTAAGCATACAAATTTCCCACAGTGATAGTTTTTCTGTATCACTAAAACATACAGATGGGTTGTAATACATTACATTGCGAGAATTAATACTAAGATGTATTACGATAAAGACACAGATATTTTTCCATTTCCCAGATATATTTTCCGGCTGAAATTTCGACCAGGCATTTTGTCCATCATTCTTATACACAATATTACATGATATTATATCATAATTTTTTGTAAATAAACATCAACTGTACCAGACCTATACCTACTTACTTACTTACTTACTTATTTATGAGTATCAATATTATATGTATTACGTGTAACGTAAACACGTTTGTATATAATTATAATATTATAGATATATATAAGTAGGTAGGTACGTCAATACGTAAAAATACTTTGGAACACTAACGCTTATTGCTTCCTTTTTATTTAATACATATTATTATTATATTTAAGTAAACGCATTTATTGGACAAATGGCATAATATATTTGTGTTTTTTTTGTTTTTTTTTTTATGTTATTGTTTTCATTCTTGCCGTCTATGTTGTTGTGGTGCACTTCAGGGTAAAAATCGAATTCCGTCACAGTTTCTGTCAATCCACAGCATCAGTGGACCAACAGCATCAGCGCCAAGTACGGTGCAACATTAGAGACAACTACACATTACGTCGCCGACGACTAAAACTGCCATAGCCGATAACAGTCGTGGTATTATGCGATTTTCGTACGCGTCGGTGTTTCATCGGTCGAGATGAAATCGTCCGACGACGACAAGCACAGCGTCGGTCCTCGCGAACCACAAATTCCAACTGATTCTTGGAAGTAAGTCCATATTGAGTTGACACTGATATATTCATTTATGGTCATATTTTATGCAATTTACACACTAAACGAAATATACAACATCTATAATCTATATGGATATGACCAAAATTAAATATCGTTCATAAACAAAAAGGCACTTAGGAACCAATAATAATATCATTAAAGAAATAATCATTTTTAATATGATTTTGAAATTTGGTACATACCTAGATAATTTCGAATTCAAGGATGTGCACCTTGGAGCCTATTTTTTATTTTGGATTTTAAAGAAGAATTTGCAGACTTATGAAAAATGAATATTTTTTTGTTTATTCAAGTTCAGTATTAAACTCTAACAGTCACATTTAGGCATGATCGAGATTTTGAAGTGAAAAACGTAACTTAATTTATAAAAAAAATCCAGAGGGTGGTGAAGAGTGATCCTTTTCAAAGATGTTGCACATCTAACTGAATTTTATATGTTATTAAAACTAAATTAAACAGAAACAATAACACATATGTGGTTTTAAATAATAATGATGTATATTTACCATATTCGTTCATTGCATCTAGTTACAATAATTATTTACATCCATCGAATAATGATTATCACTATACTATATTATAAGATTAATTAGTTATTTTTTTTATGCCTGAATAAATTTGATTTTCATGGTAGACCTACTTATTGAAATGTCTGCAATAAAAATGTACAATTATTAATCTTTTACTGATACGAACCTTATAAATTCTAATTAACACTATTATCCTATACATTAAGTTTATACAATTATAACACTAATTGTATTTAGGTTAGTAGATTATTCCCATTATTAAAAAGATAGATATACCTAAAAATCTGGAATGTAGATTGTTGAGTGTACCTAATAACTATCTAATATATACTATGTAGTGGTTATTAAAATCTAGAACATACTATGAATAAAGTTATATTTCACTTGCAGGCACAAATATAAAATGTATAGATGAATAGTATAGAATAAACTAATAATCGATAAAAATAAAAACTATTTTCTGATTTCAGTAATATTGTATATTTAAAAGAAAAAAATGATTTGAGTTATTTTTTTTGCTGTAATTTAAAAAGATTATTCTTAAGAATTCAAAATATTTAAATTCATTTTAAAGTTTTCATACCATTCTAAGATATATCTATATTTATTTCTACATTAATAACAGCTTGTAATATGCAATAACTAATATTATATATGACATTATATTGTAATGATTATTTTATAATTTATGCTGTTAGTCTTTTGCAAAAATTAATTCAACATACCGTTTTACTTAGAGTAATAAAAATATATAATAAAATAAGTAATACAGTCCGACAGAGTGACAGACCACCTCCACTTAAAATAGTTTTTCGTATGCAATGATTTATCATTGAGTTCAAAATATTTAAACATCTATTACATTTCCCTACTTATTGACGAGGTACACTCGACAGTCAGGTATTCGGAAAAAAAAGCCTTGGAAAAAAAGCCCTGTACCAACTAAATACATAATACATTTTTTATTAAAGTATACATTTCATCATTTTTAAACAATTTATAATTTTTATATACTTTTATATCATAATAAATAATAATATTTAATAAAATAATAAACCCAATATTTTAAACTATTTAGGTATAAACATACATTTGAAATAGAAGAGATTAAAGTACCTATATAGTAATACAAGTAATTGGCATTTGACTTTATCTTAATAATGATGAAGGTATTATATTTTATTGGAGACTCTATCTTAGTATCTACAACATTATTTTATTATTAAAAATGTGGTTTTTTCATTCATGTAGTTGTATAGTAATAATGATATAACTGATATAATTGTATTAGATTTTCTAATGGCAGTTAGCCATAACATGAGAAATCAATGCTCAGGGTTTTTTTAACCGTATTTTGATATTGTGGCTTTTTTCCCGTGTATTTTTTTCCCTAGATTCACATTTTGCCAAATAGGTCTTTACTTCATTAATTTAATTGTGAATAGCGAACATGCTGGATATTGATACTAGATTAAGTTTCGTGAAAGAGATTCCTCTTCATATTTTTTTCAAAATGTTATATATGTATAATATAGGTACATTACCAAGGTACAAAATAGTATAATATTATTAACTGATTACCACAATCAAATTAAGTAAAAACTCAAAATCATAAACTATATTATGTTACACAAATTAATCACTACAAGGAATTAAATATTATATCAATTCAATTTTAAATGAAGTATCTTACATAAAATAAAGTATTTAGTCAATTTCAAAACAAAGTGTCGTTTGTTTTAAATTTATACTTTATTAGTTTATTTTTTTAGTTTGTAAAACTATCTCTGTATCGTATATGATTGTACACACAAAAATATGTTGTACGAATTTTCATGAAATAATAGTTGCTGATAATATGTAATATATATATTGTATATACGCTTATATTATGATTATACTGTAAAAATGACCATCAAAGGCCTGACAGGTTAGGGTGTTCTACGACTCCACCAACTACCGATCATATATTATACTCGGTCCTAAGTCATCTATACCCAAAATCATATTATAATGTGGTCTTGTAACAAAACAAAAAAAAAGGTAAACATTTTTAGGTATGTCTAGACTCTGGATGCTTTAAGAATTCATTTATTTTGTTACAATGTTAATCTTGTACTCTCATCCGTCCTTCTGTTTAGGTACTGTTATTGTACTTTATATATAGGGACGAGATACACGAATTCTACGAACCTCAGTTCCAAAAATTCCAGTGGGTTGATGTTAAAATCATTTTAAAATCTTTAATTTTATTTATTTTATAAAATTCTTGATAATGTTTGCATTGATTTTTAATTTATTTATTTATCTTATTCATACGTCATATCGTATATCACGGTATATTATATTATTATAATATAATGAACCATTTTTTAATTTTATTCGAACTTCAGAGTACAAACTGTCTTTCTCTTTTTAAAAAAATATAATATGTGAGTATATTAAATTCCATTGATATTTATATGATTATTTTAGACAAAATGTTCACCGTTGAGTTTTGAATTTTAATTATAGGATAATAAATATTATTAATTATTATACGACAAAAAATGAATAAAACAGATCATTTTCAATATATTTATATACTAATAAATGAATTAAATCACAAACTATTATTTGAGATAGTTATGCTATAAATTCTCTTGTTTCTAGTTGTTTCCACATTGTTCCTATTTTAGAAACTTACTGGATAATAATCAAAAAATGTAATTTTAAATGTGCTGATTTGATAATATTTTTTCGTTTGATAGGTACTTCAGACCTTAGAGGAACCTTCCACTAAAAATTGCAATTGCAACAAATCAGATAAAAGGATAAGCTCAATTATGCTGTAAAATATTAAAGTTCCTCCTCCTCCCAACTTAATTCCTTATTTGCTCATCATATACTGTAATTACAAACATATTTTTACATTTCCAGTGCACTGAGTAAAGCCAACATGCACATTTTCTTACCCGCTAAATATATCGAGATTGAATAGTTTTGAAACAGTCTGATTTATTTTGTTATTTTTAAACAACAAATTTTAGTAATATGTATCGTAGACGCTCGGTTAAATAAAACGCAGACAGGTAGTTAGACGTATATACAACCCGTTGACGTGTATAACATAGCTATTCACTATCGTATAATTCGTATTTCATATATTATATATTTATATAGTATTGTAGTTGAATAGGTATGTAGCTCGCGTGCACCGATTGTTATTTTAATTTGTCACGTTTATCGAATTGTACATCTACAGACGACGTGTATGAAAATCAGAATATGACGTATTGCCACCGCTTGATCGGGTAAACCTTAAATTCGTTTCAGAGATCGAGAGATCTATATACTACAAAAGAAAACGCTAACACAGAATTGGCAACAAATTTGTACGCTACAAACAGTTCTACTTTCTAGTAGTTTCGATTTTATCATCGTGAGGTTATTATAAAGTAATAATCACAAATATATAGAATTTTATATATCTGTGGTAATAATAGTACTCCCTACTATTTAATATATATATTTTTTGATATTAAATAACTAACCTTTGCGATTCGAAATTTGTATTTTTACCTGCCCTAAATGGCTAAATCATGACAAACGCATAGGATAACTGCAAAAAATCCTTTTATGTGTATCCTTTTACCTCACTATTAATATTAAATTGTACAAAATGATTTTAAACTTATTTACTTGGACAGATTAATAAGAACTTTCCAAAAACATTAATGAATGACAGAGCATCATAATTTTCATATGATTAGTTTAAAACAGTCCTTATATTTTAATTTTAAGTAACTTATCGATGGTTCGTTATATTATTGTGATCGTTTTGTATTTTATATGTTTTCAATATTTTTAAGTAAAACTGCCATTTAAATTAATTAATTATTTATCAATCAAAAATAAATATTATATTGTAAACAATCATTAAATATTTTTTGTAGAAATATGTAATTTATAATAAAATACGACAATTGGTACATACTTTTATAAATTATAGCTAAAAAGATTACTCGGCAGTCGGCACACCTAAATCAAATTAATATTATTACAAATAATTTTAGTAATAGAAAAATCTGTTTATTTCAAACGAACCGAACTTATAGAAAATTGTAAAATTGTTTGTAAGATGTAGTAATTAAATCGGTCCTATCGGATTAAACAGTTTGAATATAATATGAACTTATACTTTCTTTTGTATAATAAGTAATGACATGATGAGATGTGTCTCGTATTAGTCGTAACGGTCACTATTGTACGTACATATTATACAGTTATATTATATAGGTAGGTACAATATACAAAAAGGTTAATTGTAGGCATCATACCATAAACATACATTTTTATTTACTTGTGTGGGGCGGTTTTGTTACAGGAGTGCTGGATGATAGTACCTGTCGGGGCGGCGAATTAATAGAACCACCCCAACTGGATCCCGAGTGGCTGAGGGCGGAGACCAGCGGCGACCCCGTTATGCGGCTGTCCAACGGCAGCGAAGGGGCTACCGACTCCATGGTTGAAATGTTGCAGTTCAACGAACACTTCCTGGACGAGGACGGTACCAAATTCATGTTGAATCCCGCCGAGCTGGAAGACCTGCTCGGACGCGATCAGTACGCTGCCGACGGTTCACCGATCGCTGTGTCAGCGCAACAACAGCAGCAACAACACCTCCACGGCGGTCATCACCACCACGGTCATCACCATCAACAACCGAACGTCGTTGATCAGCCCAACACCAAGCCAACCGCTAATTTCGCCGACCTCAAGCCGCTGATGCCGTTCCACACGATCACGGAGCGCGTGAACATCAACGGCATACCCGGCCACCATTACCAATCGATCGCGTCCAACAACCGGGTGGCTGAGAACAACAACAACACGGCCACGGCCAACAACAACATGTACTACCAAAACGAATACCTGGTAACGTCGTCCACAAACGCGGGACTGACCAAGTTCAAGGAGGAGGACACGTTCGTGGACAACCAGTTCGACGAGTTCGAAATGCTGATGGGCAGCCCGTCGTTCGGACCGGACACGACGGTGACGGCAAGCGGCGACCACCCAGCAGTGGACGGTCCCGACGAGTGGCTGAGTGTAGGCGACGACTGGGCGTCATACGAACATCCGCACGGTTCGCCGCAAGACAGCAAGGCTGGCATACTTGCCGACGTCACCATACACGACCTGGTGGCCAGTTCCCAGTTTCCGGGGATGACCAACGGGGGAGGCGGTGGAGGCGGTGGGACAGGTAGTTACCACCAGCAGCCGCCGTCCTCCATGCAGAAACCGCTGTACCAACAGCAGCAGCAGCAGCAGCAGCCCCGCGAGCTGGTAACATCCAACGTACCGCCGCCCGCGCCCCGCCCGGCTGCCGCGGCGTTCATGCCACTGCTCCAGAGCCGGCTGCAGAACGGACCAGCCAACAAAGCGCCGCTCCAAGACGCCGGTAGCTATCACATGGACTGCGCATCGTCGCCGTCGTCGTCCACCCCGTCCTACCTAGCCCACAGCCCGACCAGTCACGTGGTCAGTACTACAGACCTGGGTGGCTACATGCCGTCCGCCGCAGCTGCTGCGGCGGCTGCGGCTGCTGCCGCTGCGGCCGCGTCCGTCCACAGTTCGCGGCCGTCGCCCGAGTTCGCGCACACTACCACGCCCGGTCAGGGACCTCATATGACCACGAAAAAGTCGAGGAACAGGAGCGGAAAGGCGAAGGGTAGCGGATGTGGCGGCGGCGGCGGTGGCGGCGGTGGCGGAGGGGTGACTGCCCGGAGCACCGTTGTCTACTGTTCGGACGGCAACGTGGCCAGGGAACGGACCGTCCACAACTGTCATATATGCAACCGAGGGTTCCTGAACAAAAGCAACATCAAGGTTCACCTGCGCACGCACACGGGCGAGAAACCTTTCCGGTGCGAGGTGTGTCAGAAAGCGTTCCGGCAAAAGGCCCATCTCATCAAGCACGCGCAGATCCACAAACGCAGCGGCCGGGACTGAGCTCGGTCGTCGTACGTCCGCCGAGGCCACCCCGGGACGTTGGGTTGTAGCAGGTACCAACATTAACTTTAATACGTTACGGCGACGACGCGATTGCTATAATATAAAGTATACAATAATAGTAACTTGTCCGTATCACATTAAAATTACACTTAAATGTCGCTTATGATTTTTTAACCCGTTCGGCGTCCATCCGCGACCGTGCCACTCAAAGCGTCGTCACGTTTAATTAATGAATTTTTGACCAAAGACTCTGAGCGATTCGAATATTATTATTTTTTTATTTCGGATTTATTATTATCGTTATTTTTATAATTTTAATCGCGTCCGCAGCAAGTTCGTTGTTTTTCCGACATCAGCGTGCGCGAAAAGTCGTTTTATTTGTAGTACCCATATTTTAAGAAATGTGTATAGGTGTGGGTGCGTTCTCAATTATGTTGTAATGGATGAAAATCTGCTTTGACCTGATAGTATTATTGTGTATGACGAACAACGCGGGCAACGATTTTAATTTTAAAAAAAGTACAAAATGTAATTTGTTCGTGAATTATTGTATATTAATTCGTTTTTATAATTATTTTTATTCGTATCATCATTATTATTACTTGTACTTGATATTATTATTTTTAATTATTATTAATACGAATTATGATTTTTATTACTATTTGTATTGTTATAACTTGTAAGTAGTTTGCGAGCGTGCATCCAGTTATTGCACGTTAACGCGATTAATTTATATTTATTATTGTTTTGTTTGTTTGTTATTTATTCGGTGTTCTCCGGCGCTATCACAAAGCACTACAATTGTTTTGGAAAAACTTTAAATTAACCTCAAACATGGTTTTTTCGTTCTTTACTAATTTATTTTTCGTGTCGACCGCGGAGAACACCTATATATATTTATATATTATGTAATGTAATAAAGGTAATTATGTTAATTTTAGGGTCGAGTAGTCTCTTATATATATTCACTTGCAATTTGTTGTTTTACGAATCACTTTTCTACTTGTGCTGTTGTACATATGTAAGTTATCATATTATTATTTATCGTCGAGGGCGTATAGTTAAAAATCGAAATGGTTGCGATTTTTGTGTATGTGTTTTGTATGTGTACTATTTATGTATGATATATATACGTTCCGATTTTTAAACGACCCCATTTTGTTTTGTACTTATTTATTTGTATTTAATTTATTTAGTTTATTTTTGTATTCGTCAAATTTTTTGTAACACCCGTATATACCTATATATATAGTGTTTATCATATCTCAATAGTCGTTAATTAATAATTGCTGTAATGGTTTTAAGGTTAAAATTGCATATTTATCGTTTTATCTTTTTATTGTTAGACCTACCGGTATACATGATTTGTTTTTATACAATAAATAAACACTAAGGACTAATCGTCAACAGTATCATATAATAACAAGATATTATAGTTTTTAATAATTGATCATTTTTTGGAAAGGTGTACCAGTCTTCCGATTCTTATAGCTATGTTTGTGTGTGTTATTAAAAAATACAGAAATCCGTTGTAATATAATATATAATATATATATATTTATGAAAATATCTTTTTTCCTTTATTTGACAGTACGCGAACGTGAATATCATATTTGACTCGTGTAAGATTGGTCCAGAGTCCTGATACAAGCGTGGTATGCAAAGCACATCATCCGCAGTCGAAGAAAACTATTTATCTTTAATGAAGTTTCCCACGGTATATAGTAGATAACAGTATAATATATAACTCTCCAAAATGAATGAATATTTAAATCATATTTTGTCAAAAATATCCGACTCTACAGAAAATATTGCAAAGTGGACTATTGTGACTTAAAAAAAATGTCTTTTTAATTTTAAGTATACTTTTAACGCTTCATATTTTGTACGAAACAATAATAGCTACTACTTACTATTATTGATCGTAGTATGATATTAACTGAGTCAGGAAACTTTTCAAAATATGTCGACGTATACAAGTTTTTTTAAAATTATTAATAAGAAGCCTATATAGTTAGTCTAAAATCTAGATTTTAGATAAACGGATTACAGGCGTACAACAGTCATCAAACCTTGCGGAATCCGGTATTCCGGTAATTTAACTTTATAATAAATTACTTTACTCGACAAAAATAGACTAAAAAATGTGCGTATGCAACATAATATATGATATACAATATTATTATTATACATATGTTTATACATTATTTATAAAAATATTACCTATATTCAAATCAATATATTATACGTGTATAATTATATTGTGTCTAGGTACACGTGAGAAAGAAAATAAATCGTCGCCGCGAAAATGAAGATAAAATAATAACAATTTATTATTTAACGCGCTTGATGACCCCGATTCGGTCGGTTGCGCGCGTTCCTTCGATCCGTGCCGAATCCACGATCTAAGCCAGCAAGGGTATTTTTTGGCAGTTTAAATTTCAATACTGTCTCGTATATAAAATACCGCAGAGTCGCGTAGAGTACGTTCGCGGAGTCCTTGGGTGTAAATTCAGCGGTACACGATTTAGTCGACAACGAAATTATGAGACGATTATTATTTTTACTGGTGGTCTAGATGTGCTTACTGCTAATTGGCCTCTGTCTGACAAGGAATAAAACTACTTCTAAATCAGGCATAAAGAAAAAATATCGTGGAGATCGCGGATTACTCGTGAAACGATCTCATGCCGCTCATCAGCATACAAACAAGGATATTATCATAATATTATGTCCTTTTGACGTTCTCCAAAACCGCCGAGAAGACTGGCAGGTAAGACAAAAATGTAAGTCTTTCGGGTCTGAGAATATAGTCATGAATGACATTTCTTCATCAACAGAACAATATTATTTATCGTAGGTACTTCCCCAAAATAATCGACCTAAATAATATTATGTCCTATATACACCGAGTATAATAAATGTCATCGATTTGGTAAGACCAAATATGTTAGGAACTATTCAAATATCGCATTGTGAATTATTATATCCACTAATCGTGGGCACTAATTTTCAAATAAAAATACTGGCGGTCCTCGCACGACTGCAGCAATAAGTAGCCATTCGTGTTCACGCTGCGCAATTTAATATCAATGCGTAGGCCAGCGTAATGTGCAGTAAACGATACGCGGATATTGTGGTGGTCGTCGTCTTCACTCGTCGTCGTCGTCGTCGTCGTCGGGAACAAAAACGAAAGAAAGAAAGAAAGAAAGAAACCACTTTTACCTTGTCCTCGCTGCGCAGTAACCACGGCTAACGTGTATATACTATATAGTAACACGTTGACCCACTAAACACGCATCTCGTCACGGCTACGCGCATCGTGCGGTTGCTTCGTTCCGACGACGCCAAATGAGCCGGATATGAGGACTGCAAGTGCGTACATGAACGTGTATCGTAGGTATTTAATATATATAAGTATAATCCCATCGCGGGAGAGAATGCGTGGAAGTGTGTGTGTGTGTGTGTGTGTGTGTGTGTGTGTGTGTGTGTGTGTGTGTGTGTGTGTGTGTGTAGCAAGTTCCTGGTCTCTGCGAAATTGCCATGACTATGACGAGGGGGCTGCGGGGGGCGAAATATTCTCAAATCCATTGGATATATTATTATTATCATTATAATAATATAATATACATAAATAGGCGTATTTAACAGTGGACACTGTTCGCGCGAGTCTTTCACAACTGGGAAATATTGTCAAAAATATACGTCTTCCAAAATCGTTTTGTAACTATTTGCATATTATGGAGCATTATACATGCGCATGTGTGTACAATAGGATGTCGTACCCCATCCTATATATAAACGCGTACGGTGCGTATACACAAGAATCGGGTCGCTTTCCCTCGACCATAACACGTTTTTGATAATCACTCGTTGGATAAAATAATCGTTGTTTAATAAAACACCATCGCTCGCCAGCCAGTTTTTTGTTAAGAAAACTTAAAGTGTGCCTACCATCTTAAACCAGTATACCACCCCACCTCACATCACACCAAAGTTATTGTATATCGTTTACAATAATATTATTATATCGTCGATATACCAATATTTTTTATAATAGTGGTACGTAGGTGTACATAATTATTATAAAATCAAAAAAATACGAAATAAGGTAGGTGCACTTATCTACGCTATACCGGTGAACGGCTATAGGTAGATACATCGTCCCTGCTGAGAACAACTATCGACCATCGAATATTGACAATATGGTTATTACTAGGTATAGACTTTAGAGATAATATTACAATATAACAGAATTCTGCTTTTTTTTTGTCGAATCAGTGATCGGTTGTATTCACGGTATTCGATTGTAGCAGTGGATTTTTCAATGTTTTTGGATGAGCTAATAATAAACTACGCTTGTGAAGTGATTAACAAGCATGCCCACCCTTATTTTTCACTGTACCTTAAAATTCTGATTTTTTAAAACTTTTTGACCTAGGTCTTACATTATGTCGTCAAGGAGAATAAGGAGTGTCTTTTGGGCTGTGGCGATACAATAATGTTACGATTATTATTCTTACAATATATTAAGCTCAGTAACTCAGAAACTAGACCTAAGATTTTGATTTAAAGTTTAAATGCATCAACACTTTCAAAATAATCAACTACTTCATAAATTATACGCAGTAAAACAGGACTTCATTGCGAAAAATGAAGTTTGTTTCACCACAGTACCTATGCACTCCTTAAAATATTATAAAATAGAATATTTTAAAATCAGGTCTTGAGGTATACCTATTTCAGAATTTGAATAAATATATTTTTAAAAAATAAAAAAGGATGATCATAATTATCATCTTAAACTGTGACCTGTGGGTTGTATTGTTATGCCTATATAGTTAAGTAGTAGGTATCTATATGGCTATATATAGTTTTGGTTTTTATAATAAAGTCTTTTATAGATGCATCTATAACCAGTACAATTCAAAGTTATAGTAATCAAAATTAAATCCAAAGAAATTTGGAAAATCACAAATATAACAACCTACAAAGCCATATATACTATTAGACGCACAACTGGACTCGACCTGAAATTCATGTGGCATTGGAAATACGTACCTAATAGGTAGTCAGGTATAAATGTATTATGTTTAATGCTCGTATACGTCTTCAGTGGCAGCTTGAGATAATTTAATATTATAGTGGTACAACACATTTAATTTACTAAAAAAGTAACACCCTAAATAGGATAATTAAATTTAAAAGTAAAAATTATCTTCTAAAAAAATCAAATATTTTTTATTAATTTAAAAATGCTTATCACTCGCTTTAAAATTAAAATTAAAAAAATACAGATTGGTGCCTCGGGTATGCAATTATTACCTTTAAATTTGATAATATGTCAATTCACTGTATAACATTAAAATTAGAGGAGTATAAGCTGGATTCCTCTGAACAGTAAATTTTCCATGTTGTGCGTCTGTTAGACTGAACGATTACATTCATGTATAGCGTAATCCTGAGGGACATTAGTTATCTCAGGCTCGACCTGAAATTGAAGTGTGCGCGAGCTTATGTCTATATTTAATAGACTATACATGCTGTGCGAGAGAATTCGCTGCGAAAACACCCTTAACTACCGTTCTTTTCATGGTTTCTAGGGGAATAGTTTCCAAAACCTAGATATTGGTATTAATGGTATAACATAATTTTCTTCCTATATGCCGATGCTATTATACATATAATATCATTATTTATTTATTTAATATTTGATGTGAAAAAGTGTTGTATTAAAAATCCAATTTGTCGTTCTCCAGTGCGATTGCTGGTTAGGTGGGTGAATTGGGGAGAGAAGTTCGGTTTCAGATTTCGAAGCCGCTGAATTGATTTTCGACGGGCGCCTCCGTAAACATGACACACTGTGCATTTTCAGTGAGTTTTCGGAAGTCCGAAGTGCGATGACTACTTGGCACGGTCATTACCGTCGCCGCCGACGGGTTACTTCAATTATAATGTATATAATATATAGGTCTGCGAACGCGCTGAATCGTGCGCAATTCAGTATTTTCAAGTAGAACACGCACGAGTCAGCACGGCGCGGCGTTCAATTATACAAGCACGTATATATATATTTGAGATACGATGACGACGGTATAGGTACAGTGCGAATCAGACACGCGGCCGCGAGCCCGAAAATCGGTCAGCGGGTCCGACGAAATTACAGAGCGCTTCGAGTACGAAAATAAGAAGAAAAAAAGTGTGACAAATTATTTCACTTTCTTCCGGCAATTACTTTTATGCGCGTACATCGAGAGAAAGAGTGAGCGCCCCGGACTGGCGGCGGAGGAGGGAATAGTAAAAACGCATACATATATATATACCAATGTAGGTATATAGCATATTATAAATGGCGTCCATTTTTTTGTCTTCTTTTTTCCCGAAGAGTGGAGCCAGCCAGTGGAGGTGGTTGTGACCTCAATATATGA